GGAATCGACGCAGAGGGGATTTTCAATGACCCGAGAAGTCATCGTTGTCTCAAGGGCCGATCGGGCGGTTAAGGTGAAGCCGCCCAGACGGAGGGTTTGGCCTGGGGCCAGGGCTCCTCCGAAGGTGATGTCATCCTTGATAACAAGGCAAGCCATCCACGAGATCGTAATACCCTACTTCCTGCTTGATTGATCTTGATGAATATGAGTATTACAAGAGTTGATCTACCATGAGATCGTAATGGCTAAACCCTAGAAGTCTAGCCTGTATGATTATGATCGGCCTCTACAGACTAAGCCCTCTAGTTTATATAGACACCGGAGGGGACTAGGGTTACACAAAGTCAGTTACAGAGAAAGGAATCTTCATATCAGCATGCCAAGCTTGCCTTCCACGCCATGGAGAGTCCTATCCGGCCACGGGAGATAGTCTTCGGTCTTGTGTCTTCACAGTCCATCAGTCCGACCCAGGCTACATAGTCCGGATGCCCGAGGACCCCTTAACCCAGGACTCCCTCACCCGCTCCCAAATCCACCGCCGCCGCAGGGGCGCTCATCTCTCGACCCGATTCCGCCGCACCGCCGCCGAGGTGTCGGCAAGCAAGGTCGTGCCGCGCCTCGAGAAGACAGTGGCGCGGCAGATCCGTCCCCTCCGCGCTCCCCCACCCACCCACCCCGCGTCAAGGAGCTCATGCGTGGGCGCCCACCTCCCAGTTGCTGCACGTCTCGGCTGGTCGGCAACCGGAAATCCGTCCTCTTCCCCGAGCCACGGCGACGGCTCTCGCGGTGGCGACGAGTCTACTGTGCTAGTGGCAGTCATGAAGCCCTCAAGGAGAGTACTTGCTGGTGCTTCTCCGGCCCCGACGACCTTGGACCCCTGTGTCTCCAGTGTCCTTGGCTGCCGGCATCCTCTGCCGGGCGGCTCCGGCCTCGGCGTCCCAGCAGCTGCGTTCCTTCCAGCTCGCCTGGCTCCCCGATGACCCGACGGCAGGATCTGCATCCCTCTAGTCCTTGCTTGCCGTCATTGCCGTTCGCCGTCGCCCTACCCCCTCGTGGTTCACTTCGCCGCCTGCCCTACGCTGTATGCCTCAAAGCCTCCACTTCTGCCACATCCAATGCTCATGGATTCAGAGGCGGTGGCACCCTCCGACGGCAGATGCAGCCCCGCCAAACCCCTTCTGATGTGGTGGCTCCGACCGGCGTTGGCTTGCTCATCTTCGTCTCCAGATACGGCGGCTATGGGATTGCTCAGGCTCAGGCCACGGAGAAATCCCTGCTCGGCTTGCCAATGCTGGCAGCGACGGCGTCTGTGGATATCGTTTCCTTCTTGGAGGCGCTGTCAAGGCTCTCGGTTGCGCCCCTCTTTGAGCTCAGGGGAAACCCTAGGTCTGGTTCCTCTGGACCGGATGGCGACGCGTCTCGGTGTTGTGTTCCTTCTTGAAGGCGCCGTCTTGCTCGCTCACGGTGTCCCCGGTTTTGGTTCTGGAGATGTTGGTGCTCTTGTTGGTTCGGCGTTGCCGTTCTTGGTTCAGGCTTGTCTGTGTTGTATCCTTTGATGTCCCTGGTTTTATATGTGATGTATCCTTTTTTCGGGCCGAGCATCCCTTATCTTTCTACTTCGGGCACCATGTCCACGCATGTCTGTGTTCGTGTCATGTGTTGTATCTCTATCTGTACTCATTCTATTTTTTCTATCAATGTAATGATATGCAAGCTTTGAGTATTCGAGAAAAAAAGAACCAGAAAAAATAGTGCGAAATCTAAATTGGCCGTCCCACTTGCGTCGGCGCGTGGGCGCAAGTGAAGAGTACGGAGGTTCCAAATTTGTTGGCGTCGCCACGACCTTTGCAGATGGACGGGAGCTTCTCCGAACCCGCTGCCCGTCCCCCCGAGCTCCAAAGCAAGTCTGGTGAGGAGGATGCTTGCTCGTGGCCGCACCTGTCCGCTTCCTCGGGCTGTACGTATGGACGGCGAGCTCTAGGAAGGTGCGCCCTTCTCTTTTGTTTAGTGGCAATAATCAAAACTGAATGAGTTCAGCGGTCACCGGTCAGTGTCTAAACCAACCTACGGTAGTGGTAATTGGTAAAGTTGAATTAAAACGAAGTGATGTGGGCACATGGCATCATTTGATCATCTCACTACGTACGCATGTGTGTTCGAATCAATTTGTATTGCAGTCCAACTTTAGGCATTGCTTTCCATCTTTTTAGCAAACAGATATTCGTCTGTCGATAAAAAGTTGTAGCTTCTGTCTTAGCTGGAAAATCTTAGTCCACTTGCAGCCGGCCACTATAGATTGGATCTCCGTCAACAATTTTTTGGTCAGAAGTACTTGGAACCTTTTCACATGACAAGCAACCTTTCAATAGCATTTCGGCTCCTATCAGACAAGTCGAATTTGTATAACATTTGCTCGGTCAGATGAATGGCTAACGACTAGTACTATACTTGACGACTTGAGGGAAGATGAATGAAGTCTTCTTTGTCACTAGACTATATAGTCTGTCCCTACTCCCAAGCTGTCCCCATCGCATCACATCACATCACATGGGCTTAATCTTGGCACCATCTGCAACATGGTTGTTATACAATAGAATGATGCATCTTTCCGCGTATAGATTACATAAAATAGAGGCAATACAAGATGGTCGTTGCTTAACCAAGATACCATCATATATTAACTGCAATCATAGAGCTAGTTAGCTTTGTTTAACCAAAGTACTGTGCTAATGATCAGTCGACTGGTCGTTAGCGACAGATCCGCATGATCCCCTCGACAGGGGAAACAACGCTCCACCTGCTATTCCCGTGCTCCTCCCGATCGATTTATTGCACCATAATTAAAAACGCGAAAAAATTTTACCTACACAGGATTCGAACCTGCGTCGGGGTGGAAAGGAGAGGCCCAAGTGCAAAGCCCAACAACCATCACACCAACCTAGTTTGTTGTTCATTAGTTCAACAACGAAATTGTTTTAAACTCTTTCTTACTACTGTCGTAAGAAAAAAGAAAGCTATTTTTCTAGAAAAAAATTCACTTCATCAATGAAAGTTACCGGGGGTATATTTCATGATGTCCCTCCCTCCCCCACCCCGGTCCCCAAAGTTATCAGGACCAGGGTATACAAGTTATCAGGTCTGCGAGGCGTGAGTTACCGTGTTATTAACATGAAAGTTACCGTGGGTATATTTAATCAACCCCCTCGCCAAAGTTACCGGGACCGGGGTAAATAACTTCTCATGTCTGCAAATGTGTGGG